CCCACTACCCGCCCACCTGCAGGCCTGTCCTGCTGCTGCCCACCATTCTGGGACGCGTCCTGGACAACAAGCTGGCAGGCTGGCGGGGTTTCCAGCTCTGTGAGCCTGGTATGGAATACTGTGTCGTTATATGCTGTAATGAAAGACACTGCGTTTATATTTCATAAACACTCGTTTTTAGATACAGAGAAGGGACACACTTTCCTGTGCTGACAGATAAGTCTGTTTGACTTGACAAATAACGTTTGTATGCTGCTGAAAACCAGGAAGGAAATAAGCGTTGTGAATAAATAGTAATAAAAATGATAGAGGCTATAAAGACAACAAATGTTTGCCAGTGTTCCCTGCAATGAAAAGGTAAAATAAAAGTTTAATGATCTTTGTGGGAAAATTGGATCATTACACTATTCAACAGAACACAAAGACGTGACATGCAGGAGAAAAATAAATAATGAATGTTTCAGATAATATACCAGATGAATCAAAGAAAATGCCACTGCTAAAGATAAAGATGCCATTTCTTCATGTAGAGTTTGAAATAGATTGATGATGATGCTTTCATGATCTCAGGTCTTCTCTCTCTTATTCTCCCTTCCCACCCTTCTGCCCTACAGAGGTGCTGAGCTCCACTGAGTATGCGGCCCGGCTGCAGAAGTCTGAGATCCTGGAGGACTGTGAGCAGGGACGAGACTGTTACTACACCCTGCAGAGTGTCGAGAAGGTCATGACGAAGGTCAGAACTTTCAACGCGAATACAGATCTTGTATTTGGAAACTTTGAGTGGAGGACGGTTGATTAAAAAAAGCAGAGAATGGGGCTCATTAAAATAGGGTGGAAAGGAAATACAGTTAGGTTAGCTTAATGAAATCTTTTTAAACAAAATGTTTATGTATATATTTTTAGCCGCACTAGTAGTGGAGCTGGAGGGATGGCAGTGGTGGATGGTTGGTTGGTTTACCACTTTTGTCCAGACTCGACAACCACTAGATGGTTTGCCATGAAGGTTTGCACAGACATTCATGCTCCCCAGTGAATGCGTTCTAAAGGCTTTGATGACACAGACTTTACCTCATGCTCCATGGTTTGTGTGGCAGGCATTCAGACTTTGGTAATCCAATGACTTGGGGCAATGCAACAACCAGCGCAACCAGCGCTTTGAAAGTTGCCTGCCTGGGTTATGTTTTGGTGCTCAGTGCAGAGCGCTAGGGGGGCAGTGGGGGGGGGGGCAAAACAAGTTGTTGTTATTTTGGTGGAAATTTGGTGAACTCAGAGGAACCACGTTTGTTTCTGGTGCAGCATCAGTCTGCTACCAACCTAATGATTTTGTCAGCTGGAGCCTGGACCAAATGTGCAGCAATAGCACAATAATACTTCAAATGTAAATAAACTAATTTAATTAAGCACTCTCCAGCCAGAGGATGTGTTTAAATCAGCATCAAAAAAATAATATTTAATGTAGTTTGTGCAGGAACACCTATAAATCAGTCTGCATTTATTTATAAATTTTTACAGTATCTGTTGCTTTATACTGAAGAAACGTTTCCTCCTTCATTTCATTAAATCCCTGCAGCCATCTGAAGGCAGCAGGACACGTGGGCTGATAAATCTGCAGCCTCCAATTTTGGAAATGCCGCCCAGAGCGCAGTTCCATTACACATGACCGTCCTCCACGTTTACCTTCATTAAATCACATGCAAATGACACCAAGCTGCTACAAAATAACCACACAAACCTCTACACACATCTGACGGGTTCGTTATGTTCGTATTCTGCTGTTTATGCTAGAGACATCTGATTGCTGGAGCTCATTAATCCTGTGTATCATGACCTCCTTTGCTTTAAAAGAGACTTTAAAAGAAATTCAGTAGTTTATGTTTTATTATTGAAGTGTGTTACATTTTTAAACTTGCTCATTTAAAACCCCTCTTTTTTCCACCCATATTCCATGTGTTCTCCTTTTTGTCCGACAGGGGATCCACTGCGTGCTGCCGCTGGGGCTGGACTGCGTGCGTCGGCTGCACCGAGCCGAGATCTTCCCAATTATCATCTTCATCAGCCAGTCTGCACGGAGTGCACGCAAACTGAGGTAAACTCTCCTCCTTCCGTCCGTCATGCAAATGCTGACAGAGCTCACCTCGTTGCTCATCACGCTGACATCACATTTACGGGAGAACAATGCAGTCCTTCCACAATTTATGTGTTGTTTGACTGTTGCTGTAACCCAGGGAGAATATTCCACTGTGACTAAATACTAATACAAGTGAAATAAAAAAAAAAATAGTATTTAAAATTATAGAAGCTAGAAGACCATACAGTAGTCGCTTTTCTCTTCAGTGTCACATCATCAAAATGATTTACTTTAAATGCTCCACTTTAAAGGAATAATCCACATTTGAATGCACTTATTACATATCATCAGCTAGTGATAAGTTGAGTAATGTAATCCACGGTTCCCTGAATGACGTTCAACGCCCTCAACAAACAGGCTTGAACCTCTTGTGAGCAGCCTTTTGTCACAGGTTGAATAAACAAAAGCATGAGAACCATGGGGTTGTGTTTTACCATTGAAAAGAAAAAGGATATCTTCCTATGGCTGCACCGTGTTCTAGTCTGTTGATGCTGCTGTCACTAGAAATAAATGGTATCTTAGTCTCTTCTGAGACGGTATTTCCTTGTACTATTGCCGACAGTTCAAACTGTGTCCAGAGCCAAACCTGTTCCTTCTGATTCTGAGGGACTGACCTATAAACCTTCTGTGTTGATGATTTAGAGAACTGAATAATTTTGTTACGTCAAACTCAACTGTAGCTGTAAACAAATACACTGACAGGATGTCACGTTGGCTACATTTGGGCAAAAATCCACAACCAACAAATGAACAAAAAAAGGATCTTGTAGTTTATATCCGCCCTTCCTCCCGCACTTCCAGGTCAAAGCTGCAGCTCCCCAGCCGGTGGGAGGAGCAGCTGCTGGCGTGTTCGAGGAGCGAGGAGCCCCTGCTGGACAAGCTGCCGTGTCTGTATCACAGCGTGGCTGCAGACTCCTGGTGTGACCCCACCTCCCTGATGACCAACCTGCGCACCATCATCTGGGGGGAGCAGAAGAAGATCGTCTGGGTGGAGCCTGACCTGTTTTGAAGAAGAGGATGAAGGGCTTTTTGTTAATATGATAAAATGTTACATATTAAAGGAGTATAAACAAGCTTTACAAGAAATACTTTTGTAAACATGAGTACGTATCTATGATACTTTTGAGTAACTGGGTGACCGAAGCACTCACATATTGTGCTATATACTTTATTAGCATACGAAGCTGTATCACTATTTACTGTAACCAGAAACGTGTTCTACATTGAGGCTTCCCTCTCTGGTTGTCCTCTTCTTTTTTATGGTGCATCGTTAAACAATCTTTATTTTATGATTTATCTGTTGTCTTTTCAACAACTATTCATGACATCCCTCCGAGTTGCAGCGGAGTTCGTAGGCAGATTCTTTAATTTGCTTAATAATTTCTGGTTCCAATGTATCTCACTGTCCACATTAATAAAAATGTAGCAGTATTTAATGGTTTATGCTCATTCAAGTTTGAAGCTCATAATTCTCCTGAAGCATCATTTTGGTGTTGCGTTATGATTTTAAAGCTTCTTTTATCCATGTTTGTGTGCTTTCAGAAGTGTTTCACTCTGGCTGAAGCTGTCAAAGTATTGTTAAAATATCTCAGGTGAAGTTTTTAATAAGGAGAGACAACACTTAATGTGCAAAGTGAGAGTTTCAGATGCATAATCAAAAGAAAGACTTAATATGCCTTTCAATTTCCATATATCATACTTTTAGGACAAATTTGGCAAATGCGTATCTGTAAGTTTAAAAAAGCTACACATATGCTTTTCTTTTAAAATTATGCCGCCCATCTGGATCTGTTCAAAGTCAAAGAACCGGCTGATAGCAATCTGAGGATTCACAGCACAAACTGCTGTGGATGACACAGTGCCTTCTCCCAAAGAATAAATGAAACCATGCCTGCACTGCTGAGCATCTGACTAATGAAATATTCTTGTAAAAATACTGTATCATGAAATTCTGTGACAGAACTGGCACATTATTCTGACTGTCACTGTAAAAGCTTATGGACCAGGTGCATATTAGGCGGGTAATCGTGCTGTTTGATGGAAACAACTCGGCATCTACCTGTTGCTGGATATGTAGGAGGCAGAGCAGGAGGAGGCCAGCACTGCCCTCTCCACACAGAGAAAAGAAGAAAAGACTGGAGCAGAACTGCAGCACTCAGAGCTCAAACACTCCAAGATGAGGTCATGCCAAAAACACAAGAGGTTCAGCAGAAAACGCAACCTTTGTAATCACTGCCTAGGTCCAGAGGATCCAAACTGCCTCACCTGCAGAGACTCCACAGTCCAGTCCAAGAGATCCAGAGGGAGGACAGACAGAGAGACAGCTTAATCTGAGGTCAAGAGAAGAACAGGACGTGCTGTCGGAGCCAAATGAGGCTCTCAACTCAACAGTGATATAAAAGCGCATAGATGTTGGGCAACGTGCACATTTCTCTTTACATAAAGTCAGCACATTTAGAGTGCTTAGAGCCTTTTGGAATTGTTGCTTTTAATTTAAGATACAGTAGCTATAAGACAAGATTCTTATCTGAGCATGAGAAAATGTGTGTGATGTTCACCTGTTGTGCCAAACTGAGATTTGAAAAAAGTTAATTGTTGGCCCTAATGGGAGATTCCAGAATTGGAGGACAATTTAGGCATCAACACTTCAGAAAAATTTACCCTTTATTTTATAATTTTCTTTTATGTATTAATGTGCTAATGTGATTCGTCTCGACTCTTCTCATCAAAGCCTCAACTGTTGGCAGTACACAATGCGAGTTCAGGCGTAAAAGAGGAGAGTCGGCGCCGGCGCGTGCGCAATGGAGGTGACAGGCCTCGTGTTATCAGCTGCGTCACCACAAGGGAGAGCAAGATAGAAACTGAATATTAGGAATTCAGTTAATGTACGTATTAGCTAGCAATATGTCTAAACCTTAAGGTTGGTTTATTTGGTAACAATATTATGAACTTTAAATGCTGGGAGTTGGTGGGGGTCACCTGGCTGGAGCTGCAGCTCGAGCGTCATGGACAGAGAAAGCGTTGGAGATAACAGGTAAGTTAGGTAGCTGCTTGCTAAATTGGACTGTGTTTGTTCTTTAAACTGGCCTAAAGTTTTTAGTATAACTTTAGAATAAATTTGTGGTAGGGATGGTTCCTCCTCCTCCTCCTCTGCGCTGCGAGCTGCTACAGGCTCACACTGAGTTTCAGCCAACATCACTTAACAAACTTAACATGTAGCTTATAAGATCAGTGTTGAATAAGGACTTTGGTTGAATGTCCAGTCAATTTTATGTATTCACATTCTTGTAGTGCTGGAAAGTTTGAATATTAACAGCACTTTTTCATAGATTTTACAGATTTTCACAAGTTATTCGATCCTTGCGCTCTTTATACGCGCTGAAAAATGTTCACAATACCTCAAAGCTAAGGCTAAACATCTATTCGGCCTAAGTCGTTGGATTTACAGCAAGGGAAGAAATTTCAAGTCCTATTGGGCATTTCTATTTTTATTCATTATAGGTATGCCTAAACTTACTATTTACTATACTATTTAAATATAAATACAATATTATATATACATATTATATATATAATATGTGTGTGCATATATATATATATATATGCTAGAAAAGATGTGGAAAGTAAGAGCAACAGTGGTGCCAGTGGTAATCAGAGCACTGGGGGCTGTGACCCCCAAACTGGGAGAGTGGCAGGTAAAACATCGACAAGGCAAGTTTATTTGTATAGCACATTTCAACAACAACGTAATTCAAATGCTTTACATAAAACATAAAAGCAACAGGGAAATATAAAAAAGTTTAAAATTTAAATAGAAAATAAAAACAGGCAGGTCTCTTTGCTTATTTTACTCCTTTGATTCCCCATCTCCCACTCTATCCCCCCTTTAGTTACTTAGGGACTAACCCTAAGGGGACTCTAACCCTTTAACACTTAGGGCAAGGTGGAATGTTGTCACCCGTTCTATTTCATTTGTAGATGGATGACCTTTCTAACAAGTTAAAAGAATGTAAGACTGGTTGTATTGTGGGGAATAGTCTTATTAACCATTTGATGTGTGCTGATGATCTGGTCATCCTGTCTCCTTATAGTGCTGGCATGCAGCAACTGCTCAGAGGCTGCTCAAATCATGGTGTGCAGCATGACATCAAATTTAACCCTAAGAAAGTGTTAATATTATTTCCAAAACTAAGGAGGATCAGTAACAAACTTTTCCTACTTTTTATTTGGCAGACTAATTGTTAAATGTGGTGAATAAAGTAAGATATTTGGGTGATATAATCAGGGATGATTTATGTGATGATGATGATATGCAGTGTTGCAAACTGTTTGCACAAGCCAATATGCTGGCACGGCAATTTCAGATGTGTTCTGATGTTTTTAAAATAGCTCTTTTTAAAGCTTATTGTACTCCACTCTATACAGCCCTGTGGTGCAGTTATACTAAAGTGAAAATGAAAAAGCTGCAGGGGGCATTTAATGATGCATTTAGAATCCTGCTTATGTTCCCAAGATGGACAAGTGCAAGTCATGTGTTTGTGACAAGTGATTTTCCCAGGCTTCATGCTGTATTGCGAAATTTTATGTGTTGGCTGATTAATTCAAAATTTTTTATAATTTTAGCTTTAGCTGAATCTACAAAAAAAGATACAAGGTATTCCTCGCGTTTTTGGAAACAGTGGAATAAATGTCTTTTAATTATGGTGGAATGTGTTGCTATGAAGAAGTTATGATCTTGCACATTTATTTTACTGATATCGACCTATGTGTCTGAAATAAAAGTTGATTGATTGATTGATTGATGGAGCACCACTTGAAAGTTGACAAATTGTCATGAATAACCTATTAAATGTTAAAAATCACTAATACTGTGCAGATGCATTTCAGTAAAAACCTGTTACAGTGCATACATTCAAAGAGGTTAGGTTGCCAGATTATGAGGCATATAATTGTTTTTAATTGTTTATATTCTTCCTTTATTATTTTCTTTAATGAAACATTGTCTTCGCAACCTGGCAACCTAAAGGTTTCTTTTGTTTTACATCATAAGGGATCATTACTAATCTGCAGATGAAGTGGTAATGAGTCCTTGGATCTTAAAAAAACATAGAATCCTTCTAATCAGCTACAGTTCACATTTAATGATTGAGAAATCATTTATAATTTAAACAGCTGCCATGAGCATTAGCGGCCGCACGGGGGAGGCAGAGAGAAATGAATGTGGGTTGGAGGGAGTGGTTGGAAGAAGGAAACATGGTTGGAGGGAAGAGTGGAGACACTTTGATTTCTGACCACTAGCCCGGAGCGCCACTGTCTCTCATCAGACTGTCATGCTGTTTCGGTTGGCTTTTCCCCAGCTCTTGATTTTACTGCATGCGTGTACCGGGCAGCAGAAAACAGGGAAAATCAATGCTCCCACCCCCTTCAGCCCTTGTCCCCCTTTTTTTATCTGGTGGTGATTATTGACTGGATCTGAGGGATGTTTTTTAAGACTTCCACTGGCAATCAATTTCCTCTCCTGGAAGACGTTTTTGGCTCCATCAGGGTCCAAAGCCCCAAACCCTCCCTTCTGTTGCTGGGAAACCACTCCAGTGATTTGTGTGTTGTCAGAGTGCATTATGGACAGTGACATGGAGAGACAGCGAGAGAGAGAGAGAGAGTGAGAGAAGAGAGAGAGAGGAGGGGGGGTTAAAGAATAAAAATAATTACATGCACATCTACTCTAGCTCCCATTCTCTTTATTGTACTTTCTATATCTACTGTGTTTCTGACTCTTTCAAACACACACACACACACACACACACACACGCACACTGCACAGTATGTGGGGCCGGATAACATGCTTTGATTCCCCTGCCTCTCACTGTCTTCTTCCGCTGGCATTTTAACTGGGTTGAGTTTCAGCTTTTGGGATTAAAAGAATGAAGAATGTGTTTGGCTGCAAAAGTGGGGAGAAATTTGATGTTTAATTGATGGAGGTTGGATATCAGAGCAGAAGGCTTATTATTTGTGTGCACCTATCTGTCTTGTCTTTTTCCACATATGTGTGTGTGTGTGTGTGTGTGTGTGTGTGTGTGTGTGTGTGTTTTTTTATGTGCGTGTCTGTCTGTGTGAGATTTATGGCCAGGAGCCGTGTTGTGAATGATTTCATACTACGGTCAGAAACACCTTTCACTGCCAAACTCCTCTCTCCTTGATGTGAGAGTAAAACTGTCACATTAATTGAAAAGAATAGGGCTCTGCTCTGCAAAACATTGCTTATAAATATGAGTTATATGTTATATTTTTGGGAGGGGGGAAGCGTTTTTACTGGCAGTAACATCAGTTGCAATCTCTCAAACAATTCTCTAAAACATTTTTAATAAAATCAGAACATTGTAACTTCCATAACCTGCAAGTACGTGTATGTCAGGACGAAGCTGCACACTCTGAAGGCCCTGAGATCAAGATTTGCAACATTTTCACAGTAGTGACGAGCTTTATTTAAACAAAGATGCTTTGGATTTTACAATAATTTATAATAATTTAGTGCACATTGATTTTTACAACATTGTTGAAGACTGATGAGTCATGAGCTGGAAAAACAAAACCGAAAAAACAAGTATTTAAAAGAAATTTTAAAAACTAGAACTGAGGGGGCCTGCAGAGTTGGTAATAACCCTCGGTTTTGTCACTACGAGTGACACAAATTAATATGATCTATTGTCACTGTAAAACATTATGAATCAGTGCAAAAGTGTAACAAAGACAATATTGCCTACGCTTCAAGTTATAATGAGATGAAAAAGAAAAAGTTACAATTCATAAAAGCCTCATAGAGTACAGTCTAGACCTGCTCTTTTATGAAAAGCGCTGTGAGATAACAGTTGTTGTGATTTAGCGCTATATAAATAAAATTGAATTGAATTGAATAAAATCAAGACAATAGCACTGAGGAAGTGTGTGTTTAAGTTGTAAGTGTGTGTGTGTATTTATATATGTGTGTGTGTATGTGTGGTGTTCACTCAACACAAGATAAAACGGGTTAAAAGGACATTTTATTGACACCTGTCACTGAAAAAAGGCCAGACTGCAACTGATAGTTATGGTCATTTTATAAGTTATTATTAGAGGCTGTTTTGGGTGAAAACATTTATATATGGACACACACACACACTGAAACAATTGAAATGTGTGGTTTTCACACACACACACACACTCACTCACTCTCTCTCTCTCTCTCTCTCTCTCTCTCTCTCTCTCTCTCTCTCTCTCTCTCTCTCTCTCTCTCCCTTTGCAGGCTGCTGACCCTCTGATGACCTGGCATGGTGTGAAACACGTCACATAGGAGTGGCTGCAAACCCATGTGTGAGTCTCTCCAGGCAATCATCTGTCCGTCTCTCACTCACACTCAGAGCGCACCTTGAGGGCAGCCCTGCCTCTGTGTACCAGCATGGATTAAACCCTCATGGTAACTCCGCTCAGTCAACAGTTTCTTAGTACACGACTGCATTACCAACAGCTAATCCAGTGTCTGTCATCAGGAGTTTCTTTTTGAACCCTGATAGTATGCACGTAACTGAACAACACAGGTCAGTGTTTTGCACAAGTTCTCATTTTGTTGCATGTTCACCCTTGTGTATGATTAGAAAGGTAAATGTCCTTCCTTCCATCCATCCATCCATCGTCAACCGCTACAGGGTCACGGAAAGGTAAATGTCAAATATAATTTTACAGTGACAAATAATGAACACCAACAACATGACTGCAGGTGTGAAAATACAGGAGCCAGGTGGAAGTGTCATCGCCACTGTGTATAAGTCTACAGTTAGTGTATTAAAACCAGTCACGTGTATGTATAACATGTATATGTCTTTAGTATGGTGGCCTCTAAGGACTAAACTAATAGCGAAAGCATGAACATATGCACGAGTGAAAGCACAAAAACTGCTCTCAGAAACTTGAAACTTTAAAGACAACTCGTCCAGCCGTGCGTAAAGTAATGGCTGCTTTTAATTGCTGTTTGAGTTGATGCTATTTGGCTAGCGTACAATTGCAAGGCAGCATTATTAAACATGATTTAGCTATTACCACTCCTTATTACCACATTAGCTACTACAATACCGCCATTGCCTGTAGTTTATAAGATGCTTGTTTGGATACTTTAAGTATCTCCTCATCCTCAATTCTCTAAATTCTTGTGCTTTTTGGATGTGTCTTATTCTTAGGGACCACTGTAATTTAGATGTGTGTGACTGTTTATTTCCAGTCATTACCTGTCAGTTGAATTGTGTCACATGTAAAATAGTTTATCTAGGGACTTAAGGACATTTTGCCCGTAACCTCATCGTTGTGTGTGAATCCTCAACGGGAAATATACACAATCGATTATGACTTAGATACTTAAGTTGAAACACGGAGTTGATACAGTGATAGAAGTGTTTGAGTTTACTGGTATAACAAACTGCTGTGGTCCAGTGTTAAAGCATCCATGGCCATAATATTCATCCAACAGTCAGGAATGAGCCATCCTATAAATCTTGTAAAATACAACAAAGGCAGAGAAATGCATTCTTCTGGTGTACTGGTTACCGGTGTGTCTGGTTTGAATGGATTTCATTGGCATCTTCACCTTGGACCTGCCACGACAAGCCCATTGGTTTTCCTTCGTAACAGAAAAGTAGTAAATGTATTGGTTTGCTTGCTGTATAATACTCTGACACACATATGAATAATGGCTATTAATTGAAAAACACTGAGAATTGCAGCTTTAGAACCCCCGCAACACAAATCTCATAAATCAGATGTGGGTTTTAAAATGAAAGGTCAATAAAATAAAAGAGAAAATTACAGAGAATTAGAACAGGCAGGTACAGCATGTTTGGCATCGGCAACACCACAGATCATTATCTACAAACCTGTCTGCACACATTCTCGTTCAGATGAACTGAGATTTATTTTAAATCTCAGTCGTGATCCGTTCTAAAAATAGCCATAGACATATCAAGATGGATAAAGGGAAATGTTCATAAAATTGTGCACAAAGATAGCTAGAACTTTCCATCTGATATAAAGGTGCATCCATGATGTTTGGTATGTGATATAAATAAGTATTTTTATTTAACTTTGTGGATGTTTGTGTTCATGTGATGTGCATTTTAAAATAGAAGCAATAGAACTGCAGTCTCCACACCTCGTTCATTTATCATCATGTTCACTCACGCACACATACTTTCACTCCCTCTTTCCCCTCCTCTCACCCTCCCTCCTCCATCACTCGATCTGTGCTCCCCATCTTTTCTCTGGCTGACAGTGAGGGTTGAGGGAAGGCTGGAAGGCTGTGAGTGGAGCCATTGTGCCCAGAGGTCACAGAGTGTCAGAGATACACAATGCCAGGGTCAGAGTCACTGTGGGGATGGTCCGACCACTTGGCAGGACAGTCCTACTCAGTGAGATAGACCGCCATGGGGAAAAGAGGGATTCAGGTAAAGAGAGAGGGAAGAAGGTTTACGAAAAAATGTGATGAGGGTAGCTAACAAACGCTGTCACAGTGAAAAACTGCTGCAAAATCATGAAATCTGAAAATTAATGTGTGCACGGTTTAGAATATGTTTTCAAGGCTGCTTTTGATGGAATAAAATCAAAACGTGTCATGTTTACACAGGTCTCAAGGAGACATTAAGGACATTCTGGACATTAAGTTTTTGGTCTTTTATGTAATTTATTTAGACGGAAGATCTTTTGTCTTCATGCTGTTTACCACTTCAGCAACACGCAGCAGCAACCACAGGAAAGTGAGTTGTGTTAGAGCAGCATGTTACATGGTAAAGAAGGCCCATGTTTAAATGTAGTGTGTGTGTGTGTGTGTGTGTGTGTGTGTGTAGACCTCTGCATGAGGACAGGTGTGTCTTTGTGTGCACATGCAGGCAGTGGCTGGTACAGAAATAGCTGAATTGTACTGAGCACTGTAATGCGGGCAGAGATCTTTCCATTTCTTCACAAAGTATTTATATAAATATGAGACATTATGTCAATGTTGTATTCAATTATCACATCTTGTAGTTTACTGCTCATCTCCACTGAAGCACTAATGTGTTGGTCTTAAGCTCTCCCCAGTCTATAAACGTAGCCTCGGCTGGAATAACCACCATCTATTAGCTGACCTGCTGTCACCCAGCCAGAAGACAATCAATACCCTCTGATAATGATGCCATTTACTCCCAGTAAACCACAGATAATGACGAGACCGGAGGACTCCTGTTATTACTTCATTCCATGGGTTTTGTCTCAATGCAGGGATCAGCTGTCACGTGAACCCTCTCATGAACGTATAGAGGAGTCTGATACAGAATTAACCTGAACTGAACCCTTCAGACGAAGACTTAGCATTGACTAAAACAGCAGAGGGTAGAGGGTTATTGAGATCCATAGACAAAGGGAGGCTGTATACTTCATCCTAATGCTGATGTTGAAATTTACAGTATTTTACAGTACAGTAATTTACAGTATCAGAAGTACACATAGTGTATCATTAAATGTTCTGTGTATGACATTCTGAATATTAATGTAGTAGCAAACAACTATTGAGCTGTGTTGAGATATAGTGGAGTAATGGCATCCTGAGCAGAGAATGACGTCAATCTCCTTCTCAATTCTCATCTCAATCTCTCTCGAGCTTTTCTCACCTAATGCGGTTCCTGAATTCCTGAATTAACGATTTATTTCAACCAGAGTTGCCGATTGTTGGAACAGTGGACAGACTAACAAAGACGTTTTTGGGGAGTTGTATTTTGTTTCTCTATATGATGTTGTCAGACACTTAGTGAACATTGCTGCTCATTTTATGGCTGCTGGCTGAGGTGTAAAGAAAATATTTCAGGGAATTATGGGTTTATTTTGACAAAGTCAGACTTACAATGATGGATTATTTTGTTTCTGTCTAGTTTGAATGAAGTGTGTTTTACAGTGATCTGAGAGGTAAAATGTTTTCTCATTGGAGTCTTGTTGCTCTACTGAGACATTTAGCAGAAGCCAATGTCACATACAGCTCCTTTAACTAGGAACCTCCTATGATGTTGCAAATCCTTGCAACAGTTCTCCCCAAAAAACATCAAGTTACTTTTTTAAGCAGATGTTTCCTTCTGCAGTTATAAAAGAAGGATCCAGTAGGTTTTACTTTGAGTGCTTGTTTGTAAGCCTGTCCAGACGTAGTCATGAAGAAGTGTAGCAGTGTTTGCAAGGGTGATGTATAGAGGCTATGTGTGTGTGCGCAGGTGTGTGCATGTGTACACATGTGTTGGAAATTCATGCTGAGGTGAGGTCTGAGCCTCAGGTTGATCCACGGTCGATCTGACAAGAAGCACAGGGAGTCAGAATCTGCCTCCAGCCAACTGCCCCCCACACATACACACATTCACCAGCGCTCCTTCATTTACTGCCTCCACAGCTTCCATCCATCCCCTCCTCCTCCTCACCTCTCCTCCCTCCAGGATGTGGGTGAAGACAGGCAGGCTGAAGTGGATGTCGGGGGGAATTAGTTGCTAGCAGACAATTTGATTTCTTCTTCTTCGAGGCTTCCTACTCCTCCACAGACACAGGCAGCACAGAGGGTTTGATGCTCACAGACAGCAGACAAGCAGGTCTGAGAGGAGATGAGACACAGATTGAAGCAGACAGAGAGAGAAGCAGATGAAGGCAAAGAGCGGTAAAGACAGAAAGGGATGGGCGGTGCAAGATGGAGGTAGAATTAAAGAGTGCAGCTTGAAACATATAAGAAATAAAGAGGCAGGTAATTAAGATTGACGCAAATGAGAAGTAACAATGAAAAGAAGAAACCAGAGAGGTAAACAAAGGCGCAGGGGAAAGGTTGAGTGTGTCACTAGAAGAGAAACAGAGAAAGACAATAGGAGAGGCCATCCAGGCAGCCTTTTAATAGTCCACCCACTCGCTGCTGTCCAAATGGGCAGATTGACGCCTGTTAGCTCCTTTAAGAGCTCCTATAATGGACCGCAGTTTAGGTGGGCGGCAGGAAAGAGAGCCATCCTGTCCAAAGTAACTCAATTCCTCGGTTCTGTTCTCTTGTTTCAGCCCCTTTCAGCACACCAGGGTGGTGAACAGATACTGTGCTCTTACCTCGATGTGATCATGTACACAGATAGATTTACTAACCCACAGAGGACTCTGGCAAGGTGAATTATGGCGAGAGTGGCCGACCTTGTGGTAACGTAATGTCAGTTTGACTTGACTGTAGATCCTGTACATTATGTGCATTATGAACATAACACACACACTCTGTGTCTGTTGTGTGTGTGCCTATATGCACATCTCTCTGTGAAGGTCCACGTGTTTTTGTGTGCAGTGGGAATATGAAAGTCAAAGTGTGGAGAGAAATTCTGGTTGAGCTATAATATTAAAGTCTGATTTATATTGTTGTATTGCACAAAGCCTTAAACCTCAGGCATTACAAACCCATGCTAGACCCATCCAAGAATTTTAAGTTCTAGTGGAGATCCAAAGCGGGATTTTAGGGAAATTGGTATTCAATTTTTATTTATATAGCGCCAAATCACAACAACAGTTATCTCACAGCGCTTTTCATAAAAGAGCAGGTCTAGACCGTACTCTGTGATGTTATTTACAGAAGCCCAACAGTTCCCAAATGATGTACAAGACATTTCCATTTGAAAAAAAGATATATATTCTTTCTTTTGTTATTCTCTTTCTTTCTTTTGTTATTTGCTAAGCCTGCACATTTGTGTCACGTGGAAAAAACATGCAATACATAAATTAAACTATTGGTCATACGTGTTCATGCCCCTACATATACAGAAACCCCAGCAAGTCCTCCAAATTAAAGGACAAACTAAGTTGTTTGTCCACGTCCTCTGGAACAACACAGTTTCTGACGCTGTGTGTTGGTTTAGGCCCAGAAAAAGACTTGCTTAGTGTGAGAGCATTACATATGTGAGCATTACCTTACTGTTAAGAACTGAAGAACTGAGAGTTACCTTCTAAGATCTCCCAGCGCCAGACTTTGTTATACAGATTCTCTGTTTGTCAAAAGAGATGTCATCCTGACCCAGTTTTCTGTGTGGTGCTTTTCTTCATGGTGCCATGTTAATGAAGAGCTAACACATCAGCCAACCTCAGACCAAGACCAGAGAGGTTGTGTCTTCATTGATCCTCTCCAAAATATTTATTGATCTGTTAGATTCAGAGAAAGATCATGGTTTGGATTAAAATACATTTTTTGTTAGGGGACCTTCGTCATTACTTTTGTGTTATCTTGATTTAGGTTAGGGACAGCAGTCACAACAGAAACCAACATTGACTGCTGGTAAAGGGAAAATGAACAGCAGGCTCATCCAGGGCTTTGTTGGATGTTTGACTGTAATTTCAGCCCAATAACAACACTTGACTTCCTCCTGGCGGACAAGAGTCATAATTAGTATGGCCGCTAGAGGGCTTTGTCACTTGAACTTAAACACATGTTGTTTATGGCCATTTGCTGAAATGGCTGATGCTGTCTTCTTCATGGGAAGACACACACAGACACATTCACAGACAGAAATATATACACACATCTACACATTGTAACCATAGTATCACCATGAGAGGTAGGCCTAAATTCATTTTAAGTGGCCAAATATATTTTTAGACAGCCTTTTAGGCTTTATAAGGTGGAATATTCTGTTTGTGTTGTGACCTGTTAATGTTTTTATATTCCACAGCGATTGATCTTGTCATCTTTGGCAGTGTATGAAATTACTGCAGCATGCCTATAAAGCATTTGGTAATTTAAAATAAAAATGTGAAAACTGAGAATAGCAAAGCACACTACATACACAGTCGCCTCACACAACAATGACATTCTGCACCCAAAAGCAACAATCCATGTTGTGTTTGTTGGAACACTTAGGTTACATGTTGGCTTTGTCATTGGTTTAGAGTCGCTGTTGTTTGTAAATATTCCCCTCAGCTGCAGGCGGTGCTGATCCCTCAGCTGTACAGTTACTGAGGCTGTCTGGCTCGTAGCAGGGGAGAAAACTGTATCTGCTCCAGTTGTAGGCTGCCAGACTCTGAACACACCCAGAGTAACTTGTTAACTGTTCACTGCTGGTGCCCCCCAGCCCAGCGGCTATGCTTTGCATGTCTCCAGCATCCCTACCCACACCCGATTACTATGGGTTGCCAGGTCCTCAGTTTCCCCAGATGCGGGTTGCCAGATCTTAGTAAGCCCATGCAGTGTGGAGGGGGTCCGAGACGCTGGCTGTGGCCCGATGCCACGCTGGGCCTGGTTATTATCTCCAGATGACATCAGCATGAGCAGCAGATGCCTTTTTGGCCACCGGGGCTGAACAGAGAGAGACTGTGTGTGTGTGTGTGTGTGTGTGTGCGCGGCTGTCCGCATGCTGTTCTCGGCAGGATCAGGCTATTTATTACCTCCCCACTTATCAGGCCATCTCCCTCACTCAGCTGGGAAGGAGATTCTGTTTCATTCCAAAAAGACCATTTCTCCTCGTGATGATAATGTAATCAGGCAAAGAAACACGGGCACACACGCATACAGATCAACCATTTAATAATAATAATCATTATCTATTTCCTGTAGCGGTGATGCTAACATACACGTGTGAAAAATGACATGATAATAAGCCTCAAGAATAATTATGATGAAAATAATTGATAGTAACAATCAGTATCATCATACAGAAATAAAAATAAACTGCTTTATGTGACACTGGAATTCATATTAATGATGGTGATCAGGTTTGTTATGTAGGTCACCTGGTGTGTGTGTGTGTGTGTGTGTGTGTGTGTGTGGCCAACTGTGTGTATATGTCGTCCCGCTGAAAAGTGCTGGTTTATTTATGCCTGTGTTTTCACTGAGGGACATGCTGAAGTGGAAGGAGATTAAACTCATGGAAGCAAATCAAAGCAGAGGCAGACGACTTAGATTAAACAGCCCGCATCTCACCAGGTTTAGCAAGTGCACAGCGGTGTGTAGATGTGTGTGCATGTGTGTGTATGTTAGCCTGCGCGAGGCAGCAGGCACCCTTGTCCATCACCTCAGTTATTTTACAGTCCTCCTTTCCCGCAGCTTATTATAAACAGTCTATCCCTGCTCAGCGCCGACCAATTTAATGGAGGGAAAACGACGGGCATCAGGAAATGATATTTCTAATCAGACAACTGCAAAGGGCCCCTTTTATTAAAGTGGGGGTGCTCTCTCTTTCTGTCTTTCTGTCTGTGTTCAGAGCGGTCTACAAGGCTGATAATGGCCTCAGCCAGCCTGGTGTCATCATATTAAAGAACTGAACGATTCCACACACACACACACACACACACACACACACTCATTCTCTCGCCTCCCTCTCTGACCAATTCCCTCATATTCTTCCTGCCTTTCTATTGAAAATGGACACTTTTGTTGTTCTCTCTTTTATTGCTCGATACCAGTGTGTATTATACCTTTGAAAAAATATTGAATTCCCCCGAGTTCTCAGGGCCAAGCAGTCGCACCTCATAAAAGCAGCTGTGGATTTGTAAAGTGGTAATGTGCTGGTGATCTCATGCACTGTGGCAGGTGGATGATGTGGCACAGCAAACAGTGTGCACGCCTGCAGAATATAGTGTTACTATAGTGACAGAAGCTGAATTGAATTCAGTTTTTAAGGTGGTATTTGTTTTCAATATTTTACTTCATGTGTAAAATGTTGTACAGTGACTGTAGTAGTTTTTCACACATAGAATACAGAATGAGTTCAGATTATTGATTATAAGTCATTTATTTTTTATCTAGTGTGGTTTTGTGTGCATGCTTGGATCTGGATGTGTGTGTGCAGCTATTTAAAAAAACTTCAGTTAAAGGGTCTTTGTCTTTTACATTCACATCATTCGCGGCATTACTGTAAACATTTGATGCTATTATTGATAAGTGAGAGCTGCAGGAAGTTTTGGCAAAATGTCCATGTAGACTCTGAAGTTTTTAAGTCACCGAAAGTGACTAAAATGATAACATTTGAAGGTCGGTCGTCTTCATGACAAGAAAGTGGATTAGTCAAATGAGAAACATTTCTTCTCAGGCCACAAAGGCAGTGTGAGCCTTTTAGCAAAACCTCCTGCTTAAGCTGTTGCTGCTTTGGGGAAAAGGATTTAATCCAACAAGAACATTGTAATTAGCCTGCAAAGACAAGACCTTCAAAATACGCCTTAAAATATTTCTGCTAACCAGCCAACCTTGAAATATGCCTAGTGCTGGTTTACACCTTGGTAGATGAAGTCCCTCTTATCCCAGATTACTACAGACAGCCTTTCTTCTATTTCAGTGGAGCCAGATTGCAATATCTGAAACAAAGCTCAAGCCAGTCAGTCCAGAACAGCACACCATAGTGTTTTGTGACAGCTGACAAGATCCAAAGGTTTACGTTTTTTAGTCAAGTCTCACAGTGAGAGCACCTTGTGTGTTTGAAAGCTTGTAATAAAACTTGGATTACCATAGTAGCTGCGTCTGTACTTTGTGTTTTGGACAGCAACGATGAGATACAGGGTACACTCTTCAGCAGCTGAAGGACTGATGGCCTTCATCATGTAGTAACACCCTGTTATGAGGAAACGTTTGACTGCAAACAGCAAGTCAGCTTGTTTACATAATTATACAGTATGTGTGAGAATAAGCTTACTATCAAATGTCAAAACCTGGCGATAAAAAGTGTACAACAATGTTAATGATTCACATCTCCATTGTCTCAACTCCTTGAAAAAACTCTTACCTTGGTTGCCTCTTTTTTTATCTACATCTCTTCTTTTGTGGTGGCTATAAAAGGGTAAAATGGAAATCAATGAGGAATAAAATGGGCTCACCTCAGCTCATCAGTGCACTTAATGAAAAGACTCAGTGTGAATGTTATTTCACTGACCATTCACAGTGATATCCTGATGGCTGCCAATAGGACGTTATCATATGCTATTTGTCACTTTCTCCAGTAGACGCAGCAGTTAAGTGCTTGTGTGTGTGCGTGTGTGTGTACACACATATGCAGGAGTGCATACAATAAGTGTCTAGAAGTGCAGTTGGTTTCAGCCGTAGCTCAGGATGCAGATGGTGTCTGAACACGGACAGACTAAACAGTTGCCCTGGGTTGCATCAGTTGTGTTTTTCTAACTCTGCGCCATATCATCACAGCAGAGCTAAATCCAACTTAAGTCCTAATTACAGGCCACTGGTGGCTACGTGGGAGTTGTCCCAGAGATAGTCAGCGGTTATGTGGAAACATAGAGGAAACAGGAAGTGTCAAACAGGTAACAAAGCCTGGCTGTTCAGCTCTGGATCTTGTTGACCCTTTCCTTTCAATTTTATATTGTAGTTGCATCAACTGCAATGAACAGTTCCTGCTTCACAGGCTCTACTAATAACTTCTCTGTCTCTTTCTCCCCCCTCCTGTCAAGCGTGTTTTCATCCGGAGGCCGCTCTGCTGTCCTGGAAGTTGACTGGTGACCACAGGTGGAAAACCAGCGGTATGTTGTCACCGCCTCCAGGCTCGAGCTCAAGGTAAACATGAATGTCGCCAGCACACGTGCACACACTTGCATATACAAATACATGCACAGTGGGTCTGCTGACATACCTCATAAATTAAAGTTTCTGACGTGGGCCTTCACATGCACTGACAACACACACGCGTAGGTGTATGGACACAAAGCAAACATGTCATCCCAACTCATTAACACACACACTCATCCCCACCCATACCTCTGACAAACACACACTCACAGAAGCAAAGCAGTTTATAGTGACTGCTGAATACTCGACTCGTCTCTTGGCGGCGTGTCACTCCTTCTTAATCCCTCTGGTACATTATTTACAGCAAGTGGCCAGTCATGGGGTGACTCAACCAGGATTCACAGGGCGTGGGCTTATTTTCTGTTGTTTTCTAAGCCAACAAACAGCCGCGTGTAGTTGTGTTGCTAATTTTAGCGTGTAACGTTGTTGTAAGCCAATCAGGTTGTTAACTTCATGAATGTCAACAAAACTGTGTCAACCTGATGCAAATGAATATCAACAGCTACAGAATCTTAAAAACATAAAAAATACTATAAAATAATGTTTTTCTTATGCGTGTTAATAATAATAATAATAATAACTGTTCTAACACAAGTTTGTGACATGCACGTTTTGTGTCCATTCTCTGCTGTTTAACTCACAAAGCCCTTCCACCTGTTTGGTAAGTTTTGTGACAGCATTAAGCTGGTTTGATGCCAGAAAAGACAATGGCTGTGAGTCAGTGGCCTTGCCTGCGCAGGCACAGCTGAGGCAGCCATTTTAATAGGTATTGACACCAGGTTTTAGCCGTGTTCTCCCACCACGCTTAAAAGCCCATGTTCCACTGATTAGCTAATTAAAACCTAGAGCGAGGGCTATCGACCCAGGGGAAGGGCAGTCGGGAGGCATCTGTCCCTCAGCTTGAGATGGCCCTGGTAGAACCCCCCTATCCACCACCATCCCACGCACGCACGCACACACACACACACACACACACCTCTTCTGTTAGCGCCTAAAAGCATTACCAAGGCCTTTTACACTTCACTGGATCAATATATTGGCTTTGAGTAGAAGTTATCACTTCTATTTTGAGAGCATTTTTGTGATTACCAGTTGAAGAAGTGATATTTATATGTGTGTGTGCGTGATAAGGAGGGCCACAGCTCCGGCATGTGTTCGATCGGTCCCCTTCCAAGCTCCAGTAATGGAGGGTTATATGCATGGAGCTATCAGACACCTGATGGAGGTAAATTACAGGCTTGTGGCTGGACAGGTAGCTATAGAGGTGTCAGCCCTCACTTTTACAGAATCAAGACGCTTTTCTTTTTCTGCCACCTCACATTACAGCTAATACCATGATATCACAGAGACAAGCTTTTTTCTGGTAAGGGGTAAAAAATAAATAAATACAGTGTGCTGTTTTAAAGATAGACTCAGAGAGAAGGAAACAATTTGTGTCTCACTCTGGGGTAATATTTGGAACTGGGTCACAGCAGCAACACAGAATAGAGCTGAAGATCAGTGAATCAACAGTTAATGTTAATAATATCTATAGTTAATTTAATTTGATTCACAGAAAGAAAAATACCATTATAATGTAAAGTAATTCATTTTCATTAATGGTTAAAATAGGCCTGGCTCACTCATAGATTTATACATATCTGCACTTATTTTCTCAAGATAAATATATAATAAATGTACATATGTGATGTTAGCTGCATATGTCGGCATTTTGTTATTTAGCTTTTGTATCTAAAAAAGGCATTACTGATTTTGGATTCATCCTTGCATTGCAAAGACATGCAAGCCTGTCAAGCTTGTTTTAAGTGTATTTAGTAAATTCAGTAAGCTCTTGTTTTACCAAAAAAAAAGGTAAAGTTTGTAATCATAATGTTATGAGGGAGTTTGCGGTACTTCTGAAATTTTGTAATGTGCAACGTTTTGTAGCAAACTCAAAATCAAGTATCTTGGTGTTTGAGCTACTGCCTGCATAACAGCACGAGGTTAGCTAAGGTTGATGGACAGTGAATATTTCATTGGCACAGTTATGCAACTTACACACACACACACAGACACACACACACCTGTGTGGAAAGTAGGCCGTGTTAGTTCCATAATCACAGTCTTTCATAATGAGACTTATCTAACTGCTGATCCTATCTTGGATAAGTTTTGCACAGTAAATAAACTGTGTGTGCGGATCTGAGCATTCAACGTTTCTCATTACATTGAACTGAATATTTACCCTGCTGAATAACAGTTGAATGGAATGAAATGATGTGTGTGTATGTGTGTGTGTGTGTGTGTGTGTTTTAGAGAGTGTATACGTATGGATGTGTTGATGCATCCATGCATCTATCCAAACAATGTGTATGTGTATATAAAGATGGCGTGCGTTTGATGGTGTGGTGCACACAGCTCCTTGCAGACTCACATTTCCTCCTCTATATTCATTAGCCTCCCTCTCATCTCTCCTGGGATGAAGGATTAGCACGAGAAGGGAAATGAATGCTTTCTGGGTAGGTGGCGTTGTCTCTGCCTACAGCAGGAGGTATTGTCTGGTTTGATATCCGCGCAAGACAAGGGACATCTGATCCGGCAGCCCTGACACACATGACACAGCCGTTAGCACAGGGGGACCAGAGAGGAAGCTCAACCACGTTGACAGGAAGTGCTGCCATTTCCATCTGAAGATTTCTGTTTGATCGGAGGAGTTAAATACACTTGTGATTGACCTTACTTGTTAAAAAAAAAGTGGCCGACAGTAATGAAGACAAGTGGGGTCATGTCAACAGGAAATTGATTCACGCTGGTGGTGTGAATCATTAAAATGTGTTGGGAATTGATTGTACTTTGTAACAGCAGGAAGAGAGTCAGCAGTTAGGCCTGTATTGAGTAGCAGGTTAGAGAATAAACAATAGGAAATAGAGTTTGACTTATAGAATATGCTAGGAGGGGATTGATTAGTATTAAAAGCATGTGTTTGAGACAAGGCTCTATGCTGAACCACTCTTGGACAGGAGGGGGAGTTGAAATTTTGATGCAATCAATGGCAGCTGGCATAAATGCAAAGAGGTTTTCATAATGCATTATCAGCTTCTTGTATTATTATGCTTCATTACTGAATAATGCTTCATCAGGAAATAGATTTTTTTTCTTAACCAATCTATAAAAAAAGATTCTGTAGCACAAAATTACTCTCCGCAAATGGCATTAACTTCAGGACAGTGCACATCTTTCACCACACTGCCCCTTCTCCTCTCTCCTCTGTCCACAAAATCCATCAGGAGAATTTAAGTAGCTGTTAATTACTTCCCCATCCCTATTGAAAAGAGAGAGTGGGAGAGAAATCAAGAGAGAGAGAGCCTTTAAAAGAGCTAAAGCTTCACTGCGGTGCAAATCCTCTCTGCCTAACAAAACCAAATCAATCTATACCCCTCAGCCATTCACAAACCTCTCTTCTCTCACACATACACACACACACACAGGAAGATGATCCTGTAAATCTGTGGTCTCCAGGGACTGTTTGAGTGCTACTCCAGAGGGTTTTGGGAGGGGATGACCATGGGGGATCGGGGATTGAAGGAAAAGCGTAAATATCCCCAAATTGCAGCTAAAATGTAACATTAGGATCGGTAAGCCCCACTCTCGCCCATAATCTTCCACAGCACTAAACCATCGCACTAAATGACCTCTATTACAGAGCCTGAACCCATTAAGTCAATACAGGAGAGATTACCTGAGAAATAGAGGCGACTAGCTGCCTGCTCTCTGACAGACGTGGCCCCCAAAAAAGCCAGGGGCAAAATTAGATTTGGGGCCGAGCACGGCGGGTGCCTGCGGGCCAGAATTAGAGGATGTCGTACCGACCTCCGTTGCTTGTTAGGAAGGAATGTGTGTACGGGGGCGTGAGGGTTGATCACCGTGCAAATAGCAGAGATCAAAACCAGGGCAGTGTTGTGTGATTTAAAACCAAGTAAGGTCCTGAAAGCTGCAGTACTGAAGAGTGGTCAGGTGGTCAGTGACATCCTGTACTCTGAAGGTCACATGTTGGAGTCCAGCAACAGTCAGTGTTTGCATCAGCGGCCACGTGTCCTGATGGAACCCAGTTGTTGGACAAAAATAAGTGTAATTTTGTAATTTTGCTTTGAAAAGAAAGGCATTGAGCACAACATTGTTTTTAAACTGAATCAGTTGACACGTACAGTAAAAGAGTTTAAGACATGACAGCTGAGCTTCTGAACTTATATACTGATTTATACCCATTATGCATCATGTATAAAAAACTAGAAATAATTGCTACGCTCAGCTCAAAGCTGAGAGTATTTAAATAATAATACAAAATCAGTCCACAATAAGCCCTTCTGCCTTCCCACCCAAATTACAAAAAATATATATTTTCATTTGCCTCTAGTAGTATCTGGCCATGTCAATAGTTTTGGTTTTATCAGTCTGGTATATCTGAGGTGAATGGAATTTTGTTTGTTTTGTTCACTCCTTTGAATAATTCAAAACACTCGTGCATTGTCAGCAGTTGTTTCTGGAACTACTCTTTACTGAATAAATGCTCCCATATGAACAGTGTTGATAGCGTGGTCTTAGGATTTTAGGAAACATGACATGGAGGATGGAGGCAGAAATCTCAGATTCATAAAAACCTGGACAACTTTAATCAAAATATAAATGGAAAGATACAACTAGAGGGAAATGACAACATAACTTCTTGTTGGGCAACATAAGTGGAAAAACAGCATCCTGGGTCTCATTTTTCTCACCTCGTTTGGCTGTAGTCCACATCTTCAACTGCTTACTGAAGACCTCCTAGCATCCTAAACATCCTGATAAACACCTTATTCCCTTCATTTGTTCCTTGTTGGCTATCATGTAGTGAAGGCTGAAAATGAAGTTGGATTTTTGTTTGTGTGTGTGTGTGTGTGTTTTACTGTCCAATGCTATAGTATCAGAACAAAGTCATTTCAGCGCCGTGGTCACGCAAAGTGATGTGGTTCTTGCTGATGCGTGTTTAGATTCATGCATGCATGTGTATGAGGACTGAAAGTGAGGAGTATGTGTACGTGTGTGTGTGTGGTGTTTGTTGGCATAGCAGATGTCCCGCAGGGAGCGGATAGGGGTGGAGGTGGAGGGAGGACGTTTTTTAAGCACTTAAAAGTGGCCTCATTCCACACAGCTGAGCTCAGAGTGTGTGTGCGTCTCTGCGCGCGCGCGTGTGTGTGTGTGTGTGTGTGTGTGTGTGTGTGTGTGTGTTCTTCCTATGTAAACCTCTATGTGCTTGTCCTTCAGTATACATGTCTGTGTGTAAAAGTATATATGTAAATGTGTTTAAATGTGTGCATCCAGTACATGTGTGAGTCTGTACTGTTCATGTCCTTATCTGGGTGTGTTTTGTATGTTGTGTATGTGCGAGTGTGTGAGGTAAAGATGGACTGCTGTACCTGTCTTTGTTAATGCCCTCTTCCAATCTGGGATCCTCTTGGGAATGAACTAAAGTGTGTGTGTCTGTGTGTGTGTGTGTTGAAGGCTGTTTCAAGTGTGTATAAAAAAAGCTCTGTCTCCCGCACGCAGAGTGGAAGAGCGAGGGACAAGTGCGGAAAGTGAAAAGATAGAGAGTGTCACGGTGACTGATGAGTTTCTGGTTTCAACCTCGGCCGTGGTGAGAGTGAAATCCCGTTTCTATTGCTTTGTCTCCTCTTTCCCCGCAGGAGAAAATGGAAATAGCCAACATCGAACCGACGCAGTCAATACCACTCTCCAGAAAAGAGCTGAGAGGGACGCTCTCCGCCGCAGAGCAAGACTGATGGAGGGAGGAGTGGGCGATAGCCAGAGTATGTCAGGTTTCATCTGCCCTGTGTGACACACAGCACTCTGACAGCTCTGCTACACACGATCTAGTCTCAAAACTATCTCTCTCATGCACACACTCTTCTGTCTTCCCCTCTCTTTCCAGTCCAGCCATCTTTATCAGTCTCTCACCCCCTCTGGGCTGCCATTTTGCAGCATATGGGTCTCCCACACGAGTACTCACACATGCACTGCCATATGCGTTTGCTCATACACCCTCACTTGCACAGTCTTTCCCTCTCTTCTCCTGTTTATTTGCTCTTCTTCCTTCTCTGTGTCTTTATTAAAATAGCACCTAGCCCAGTCATTCGCATTTAAATGAGCTAATTTTGAAAAAGAAACAAGATGGCGAAGGGGGGATATGATTGGAAAGATGATTTTGAATCTGTCTGAAATATTCATCTCTGTCTGCCGATGTTTCCACTGACCGTTTGATTGGCTGAAATGGCTGTCAGTCAGGCATTCAAACTCTCACCTGTCAGTCACCGTGAAATCTCATGTCTCCACACATGATTTGATTTGTCGACCTCTTTCACTTCCTCTGCCCATTTCTGCCTCAAACATATGGAAGATTCAGCTGCAGGCCCTGGTACAGTTTGGTCCTCCGACCTGCAGGTGTTCCAGCAGAGGTGTTTGATGAAACACTGGTCGTACTGGGCAGGTGTGAACGCGTGTAACCATTGTGGCATGGCTAAAACGTGCTTTGTAACATCTTGCGCAGAGGGGTTTTCTGACATGTTGTCTCACCATGCAGCTGTGTGCACATGTGCACATTTCCAAAATGTGAACCACATGGACGTGCCTGCACACGACCCATGTCGGCTACATGTTTTAGGCCTCAATCATTACTGATTTGATTAAGGTTTAAAGAGTAGCAAAAGGTAATTGTGGCCTTTTTCCTCAACATAAGAGGATTATTAATGTTTCAATCCAGAAAAGGAGGATTAATATGGTGAGACGTTGAGGGATGACATCTGGAGCTCATGGTTATACATAAAGAGTTTAATAAGGTGCAGTAACTACTGTAATGTTTTTGAAACTGTATTGTGTGTAAGATTTTGTTCATATAGCACCTTGTAAAACAAAGTTACAAAGTGCTTCACAAGATACAGAAACAGAAAAAAAAAAAGAAACGTTCCACAGGCCACAATCAACAAGCTGATCAACTCAATGCCAAGGAGATGTGTTGCACTGCGTGAGACAAATGGTGGTCACAACAGATACTGACTGGTTCCTGGACCCCTCCAATACAGTGAAACTGCACATTTTCGAGTGGCCTTTTATTGTGTGTTTATAATTTTTCCTCTTACTCTGATGACCATGTGCTCAGAAGCTCATCCCTCCATATCTCATCTCCTCCTCTGTTGTGGCATTGGATGTGCGGAGATTAATAGGGTACTGGTTCTTAGAAGAAATATCCAAAATACTAAATCACAATAAGAAAGAAAAAATACATTTTGAGTCTTAATTTTTGCAAATATGTTGTGGAAGTTGTGCATTCCCATTAACTAGAACTAAAGGAGAACAACTCTATAATTTAAGCAGGAACACAAAGAACCTTTAGCTGACCTGCTGTAAAGGATGGATTTACATTCAATCTTATAAAAAAGCACAAAACCAAAACATACAAGCTGATCTAAAAGATGTTTTTATGTGTGTGTATTTTTCATTAGACAGAAACTGCATTGTGTTCATAGTGCAGAGGAAATGTCACCTGTGTCTCTCCCACACAGACACATACAGTACATGCATAATCATTAGTTCTCTCTCTCTCTCTCTCTCTCTCTAATCAGTTGAAGCTCTGCCTCGTTCTTTCCTTCTGTAATTACATCCCACGTACCACATCAAGCGGCAGATTGAATCTTCATCGCCGCACTAAGCGAGTTTCAAGAGGAGAGACTGAGAGAGAGACCGAGATCTCACCATGTTTAATGAATTCTGTCTGTCTCTCATCCCTGTTGTCTCTCTGTCAGTGTGTGTGTGTGTGTGTGTGTGTGACAGAATGGGGTTCTTATATGACGGCTTGATCAAACAAACACACACACACACACTGACACACGCGCTCACACCCAAAACCACATGTACACATACACTGTGTTTGATCACAGCGGTGTTGCGTGTGTGCTATCATTACCTTTGGCAAAAATCCAGTTTTATGGTTTTGTTTTGTCCTGAATGAATGTGAGCCACGCTTTAATTAGCTGCAATTGTTATTAGGTATTTGTGGCTCATGAAATATGCTGACTAACGAGATGTTAATAAGCTCTACACAGGCGCTGGCACTGCCCATGGAAAAGAATAGTCCCCATTCATAATCAATAGTGCTGTGGCCTTGCTTCCATGTCTGTGTATTGATCTGCCTGGGCCATGTGTGTCTCTTTGTTTTGTTTTTTCTCCTAAGGCTCTGCTCTTCAGTGCTCCCCCCTGCTTGTTTCTCCTCTTATGTGTGTGTGCGTGTGTGTTTGTGTCTGGGTGTGTGATCGTGGCTATGGATATGGCTTCCAGGGGTGTGTGTGGGCGTGTGTTTATTTGCATTTACACGGAAACTTGTGCACACGCATTTTCTTGTGTTTGATAGTGGTTGTGCCAAGAGATGACACATCTTGTTGTGCTTTGTGTGTGTGTCTTTGAATGAGTGTATACAGGTCATCTGTGTGTTAACCGCAATGATCAGTGCAACCTTTTCCTTGTGTTGTGTGTGTGTCTGTGAGGTGGGGGTCTCAGGCGCTCCTGTGGTGAGATTGGATTGACCGCTGTGTTATTGCTCTTTAATTATCAATTACGGCAGCCCCCCATCCCGGGCAGAGTGGGGGGGTGGAGGCGTATGCGGAGGTGATAATGAATACAGAGCTGCCATTAGGACAGTAACCGGGCTCTCCGTCTGGGGCTGGGGAGCCAGCGAGGAGGAGGAGGGGAACTGGCTGGTGCGCTAATGAAACAGGCTGCAGCTCAAGACAAAAGAAAAGCCACCATCCCTCCCTCTCCTTTTCTCTCTTCCCTTCTCTCCATCCCATCTTGGACCCCTCATCATCTTTCTTTATCTCTCTCATGTATTTTTCTTGCTCACTTTGCATCCCACGCCTAAGACGTGCACGTCTCCCCTATAGATATAACGTACACACATATTCAAACACACTCACGAGGGACTGCCATACAAGGCCTGTATTTACTGAGTGGGTCATCTTTGAAGCCGGCAGCTAATCCTTTTGAAAGTGTGCCCGTTCTTTCGCAGCATATCATTACTCTGAATATTTCATATCTTTTTTTTTTCTTTTGCTGTTGCTGTTCCTGTCATGGCCATGTATCAGTGTGATGTGTTAATACAATTGGTGCATATATTAAAATTTATGTTTGAAAGTTGAAATCTAAATTGCGTTGAGATGTGAAAAAAACCATTTATCTGAATGTAACGTGTTAGCAGGCATCCATACTGGCTCTGCGTGCTTGTCTGTTGGTCATTCCCGGTGCAGTAGGTGGGCGTCCTGTTGATTTCTGACAAACTTGAAGGTGGCTGTTAATGATTATAAAGTAGCCAACTTATGCCAGGAAACTGCAGCTTTTTAATGTCCTGTTAATAACTAGAGTGACAGTGCTAAACTTACCTGAAAGAATAGCAGTGGTGGGAGGTTTCCAGTCCTCATAAAAAGCTGCATACCTGTATAAAATATACATTTTTGGTGATGAAAACATTCAGCTGCATTTGGAGATTCATATGCAAAAATAAATAACTTCGGCTGTTAAAAATAATTGTTTGGATAATACAACATGAAATAAAGAAGCGCTGCCGCTCAGTCAATAAATCACTGTGCCTGCCAACTGTGCCTATAAAGAGACGGCACATGACATTATGTCAGCAGCGCTCAAATGTAAATAGCCTGTTTTATTTGGCTGACATGTAAATGCCATCATAGCAGCAGTGTGAAGCACAACGGGACAGATAGCGAGCGGCTTCCCTTTGTCCTTTCACTGCATGACAGATGAGAGCTGCTCCTAAAATGCAGCCAGCAATCACGTCCTATTTTTCCCTTTTAGGAGATGAGACACATTAAATGTCTCCTGGAGGGGAAATGTGAAAAATAAACAGAAATAAGCGTGGCCTCTGCACCCGCATACATGTAAATGACTGAATTAGAAAAAGGTTATAACAGCCACAGGGCAATATGATGGCACATTTTCATGTAGAGGCATATTATCAGGGTGACACCATCCAAGAAGTAATGAGCAGACATGAAGAAGCTCTGCTAAATGTTTGTTTTAACTCACTCAAACTGAAACATGGTGTAGGAAACGTGACCAAGAGGCAGCCGCACTCTGCTTTGTCACATGTGCCCGTCAACCTCACCAGGCGCAGTGCCAAGCCCAGACAAGCTGCTCCACCTGTTGTAAATCTGCTCTGGTGCAGTGATACAGTGGCACATAAAGAGCCGGGTAAACCCTGACCTCCAGTCTGGAAGCCTCGTCAGACTAAAACACTGCCTAAAGACAGAAAAGTGAGTTACAATTAGATTAGTGCTTCTGTATAAGTCCTTGGGACTTGGGATAAAGTCATGTTTTATTTCAGTAGCCTGTATTCACAGTTTGAGTCTCAAAAGGCTTCACAGCTCCCACATTATGAAGCACTAAATGACAATCTCCAACCCCAGACTGAGACTAAATGAGCTCTTTGGGCAAAGTGGGTTAAGGTGGTTCTACCCTTCAGTATGTATTAACTGAATTAATTTCCAGTATCTTTGTCAGTTTGATATTCAGGAGAATAGCTCCTCCTGACAGAGTCAGGCGCTTGCAACTTTGGGCCATTCATTTTTCCACAACCTGACACAGGTTCACGACTTCACTGGACATTTCCAGTAGGGATTAGTGCACCGTGCTTTAGAGCTCAGGTTGACTTTACATTGAACTCCACTCAAGGCTCAAAAGCTTAATAAATTGCTTTTCCCCAAGTGGCCTTTGTATTGATATTGCAATTTTCATCTAAGCCTTACAATTTTTCTGACTTAATATTTAAAGAGGACCTAAGGATTTTTTGAGGCATTTCTTTTGTTTGGTCTAAGTAGATGTGAACATGCCCACATTATTTGCCTATTTTAAACCATTTTTATTGCAGATGTAACGCAATTATAAATCATGTGAAACATTCACATTGAATGGCTTCTATCAAATGATTATGATTGAATTGGAGTATTGGACAGACATTATCAAATGCTGTCCTTCTGCACACTTCTCTTAAATTACAGATATCTATTCTTAAAATACTTGAGTCAATGTTCAGGACCTTTTGTCAATAACAGACATAATTTTTATTGAATTGCAACATCTTCCTTGAAATAAATATTTAAATATATATAGTATTTTAGGGAAATCCTATTATGATCTCATTTTACCAAAACAAATCCTATCACAGGTAAAATATTTGTCTGAGAATAAAGTGTAGGCTGTAAGGAGGTGGGCTGTGTGTTAAGGTGTTGGCAGAATCATCCAATCCGACATCAACATTTTTAAATTATTTTATGAATTTGTCTGCAGCACCTTTTGGCAAACCTTTATAGGCATGTTCTCTCACAAGTTTATCTCAACACTTTCATTTAAATAAATCAAACTTGGAGCACAATGCATCTCCTGCTGAGTCACTGAGACGTGGCACCATGTGAGGTGTCAGTTGCACTTTATACTTAGAGCCTGTCTGGACAGAATTGTCTCACAGGCTTTATCAAAGAGAAGCGTTTGGCCTCCTCAGGAACAGAATTGTTTCACTCATCGTGTGCAGTAAATGTGGAGAAGATCGTCTTGTTGTGAAATGTCAGGTACGTTCTGACTCAAGGCGGCTAAATTGTGTTTTGTGTCAGAGAACTGTAAGATCATTATGAAATTGTTAAGGACAAAGAAGAAACATTATCATTTGAAAAAATGGGACAGTTATGTAGCCCCTCATGTCATTTTTGGCCTTCTAATTTAGCTTGCAAAAATAGAAACTCTTCAGGCTACAAAAGTCCACTGGGCTTTCAGTCACTGTGTTCTCTGAGAGCAGCAAGAGAGGATGCAGCCATGTTAAAGGTCATGTGTTCTTGACTGAAAAGAGACCTTTC